GTCACTTTTGATCAATTTAAAGCATCCTTGCTAAATAAAAGTATTAATTTCTATCATTTCCCCAAAAAATACAAATAAAATAAAAATACTGACTCCAAGCTTTTGAATGGTATATGTATAATGTTACAAAAGCTTTTTATTTCATATGAATGCTGATCTTTGGATCTTTCTATTGGATCTTTCTTACTGTTCAAAAAATGTTGACTGGTAGTGTTTCTATGTAGCCTATGTATCACACTCATATCACATCTTGTTTTGGATAAGAATAAAACATCAGGTCTGACAATATCGTGTCTTTTTCTATTTAAATCTAGCTTTATTCGCATTGGCCCATGGAAACCTCTATGAACACACTTGACTTGACTTGGCTAAAAACTCGCGTGGGATGAATTTATGTTTTATTAAAAAGTGTTTACACATTCTACACTCATGGCGGGCAGCCGCGCGCACACATTAGGATAGGTTAGATGCCTGCCTCCGTTGCGAGTCCCTATCAAGCACTTTAACAATTCAACTACTCTCCTCTCCTCCTGCCTGGCTCTTTGACCCGCATCACTCACCGCAGAGCAAGCCTGTTCTTGATAAATCTGCTGTGAAAACTTGGGAAAAGCCAATGAGGAAGAATTTGGGGTGAAGCGATCTTTATATAGGCGGAGCAAAATATTTCATCGCTCTGTCTATAGAGCATTGTGATTAGATGTTTACGCTGTCAATACAGGAGACAAACCAATGGGCCACTGGCTGCTCGCTGTCCGTGCGTGATGGTTTTTGGCAAAAAAACATTCTGTCGGCCCCTTAAGTGCGTCGGCCCACCGGGAAAATGCCCGGTATGCCTGATTACCAATCCAGCCCTGCATGTGTGTGTGTGTGTCTGTGTGTGTGTCTGTGTGTGTGTCTGTGTCTGTGTCTGTGTCTGTGTCTGTGTCTGTGTGTGTGTGAGCGAGCGAGCGTGCGTGCGTGGGTGAGTGTGTCTGTGTCTGTGTCTGAGTGTGTGTGTGTGTGTGTGTGTGTCTGTGTGTGTGTGAGTGTGAGTGTGAGTGTGTGTGTGAGTGTGAGTGTGAGAGGTTGAGTGTGAGTGTGTCTGTGTGTGTGTGTGTGCGTGTGAGAGGTTGAGTGTGAGTGCGTGCGTCTGTGTCTGTATCTGAGTGTCTGATTGTGTGTGTGTGTGTGAGTGAGTGAGTGAGTGAGTGAGTGAGTGAGTGAGTGAGTGAGTGAGTGAGTGTGTGAGTGTGAGTCAGTGTCTGTGTGTGTGATCAGTAGTATCAGTACATAAAGTGTGTTTCTAGCACATTATTTTATGTCTGAATACACACCTTGTTTAATGTTGTCATGATATCAAAACTTCATCAATAGCAATGCCATTTGACATTTCTAGTTTAGACACATGCTACTGAACACACACCTTTGTCTTAATATTAATAAATTATATTTTAAAATAGCATGTGCATTAGCCTTCAAGCATTTTTCTGTGATATCTTATTTTTTCTTTCTTTTTTTTCCCTGCAAAAATGTTTCCAGTGTTTATTTATTTATTTTATTTTTTTAATGATGAAAAAAATCCAAATATTTTGTTTATGCATCAACTTCAAAACCACAGTAACTTGGACAAAATATGTCTAATATCAACATACTGACTGCTTTAAAAGTTTTTTTTGAGGTTCATAGAATATTGAATTTTTATTGCATTTATAATAACTGAGAGTAAAACACCTTGTCCTAATTTTCATGAAATTTTCTGTGATTTTACATTACTTTTATTATTTTATTTAAATATATATTTTATCATCACATATACACATACATTTACTTTTAAAAATTGTTTCATGGACTTCTGGTTTAGTTTCTTAGGTTAGTTTTTATTTGACTGTTTAATTTATTTTCTGTTGTTAGACTTACTGTGTTTTTGATATATGTTCAGCATTTTTATATATAGCGAGTTGTATTGTGTTTTATTATTTTAAATGCCTTGAGAAGCTAAATGCAGTTGTTTATTATTATTATTATTATTATTATTATTATTATTATTATTATTATTATTTTAATCAAATCTCCAGAGATAAAAAGTCTCAATTACTTTTCTTGTGGAATTGTGAGATAAAAATTCTGAATTCTAACAATGTCAGAATTGTCAGATAAATTCACAATTGTGAGAAAAAAAGTCGCAATTCCTTTTTTTTTATTCCATGGAATAATACAAACAGAACAAACTCTGTGGAAAAAAATAAAAATAAATAAATAAATTAACACATTAACAGTCTTTATGAGGTTCTGTTTGTGCTTTGGACTAAACTGTACATTTGTCCATGTCTGTGGTCATTGCCTACCTGTAGAGATTTATGATTTCAGTGATGTGGAAAACGTGGACAGAATCACGGAATCCAGTCATAAAAATTGAATTTACAGTATAATGCGGAATGTCATGGAATTTGGCAAAGTTTGGATGAACAAATCAAAAATAGGGCTGTACACTTAATCAAATTGTGATATGGACTAGTGTCTGTGAATATTAAAGCTCAAAAAGACTGCTATTTATTCTGATATTTTAAATCTAAAAAAAAAACAGATTTCACAAGGCCCTAAAAATTTGACTTTTGTTAAATGTTTAATAAATTGTTGTTAAATTGTTAAATGTTTTATTATTGCAATTAATTAGACATGCTTTTTGATAACTAAAGTTTAGTTTTTTGAAATAAAATGAAATATCGAAAAAAAATTAAATGGGCAAAAAATGGAATCCAAAAAAAAAACCACGCAATTCAGAAAAATTTAAACTAAAACCTAAAATTTTAATTTTAAGTTTGGAAAAATAAAACAGAATTTGGGAAAATATGAAATGGATTTCATAGGCCCCTAGACTTGTTAAAATAAATGAGGATTTCTTGACGTGTAGGTTCTTTGTTTAGCTCATCTTATTCATTATCTTTCTGAACTTTACAATCAGGATTTGAAATAATAAGTGAAAAGCATGGGCAATTTTCGATCATTTTTTCTGGGAAAAGACATCCTTTAAGACGTTAAGTCTTGCTTTCTGAGGATTTGAGTTTAAGCTTAAAGCAAAAACAAGTATCTGCCAATAGGGTCAAAAAAACTTGTTTTCCATTTGAATTAAGTTTTTATTCTTTTTATATAGTAAATTTTCTCACCCCATTAGCAGATATTAGTTAACATTTGATGTGATGTTGCGTCTCCAGTAAATGTATGTGTATTTCAGAATGTTGAGATATTTCTGTGTGTGTGTGTGATGTGCAGCAGATCCTGCAGCAGCAGCAGCAGCAGCAGCAGGCGGCGCTCATGGCGGCGACACAGGGCTCATATCTCAACCCCATGACTGCCATCACCGCCGCTCAGATGCAGCAAATAGCAGCTTTCAACCTCAACGGCCTAGTGGCTGCACCCATGACGCCATCTTCAGGTACACACACACGCGCACACACACACACACACACACACACACACACACATACTGACTCTTACACTCCC